TGTTCTGTTATTCGCAAGATAACTATGTCGACTTGTAATAAACCATGGGAAAATCTATGTGCACTATTGAGTAATGGTATTCTTATGAATCTGGGATTATTTTGTCTTGCTAATATGTGGGCCTGAGGCTATTCTGTATAATCTGTTAGGCCTGAGGCCATTCTGTATAATCTGTTAGGCCTAAGGGCGCTCTGTATAATCTGTTAGGCCCGAGGCCGCTCTGTATAATTTGTTAGGCCTAAGGTCATTCTGTATAATCTGTTAGGTTTGAGGCCGCTCTGTATAATCTGTTAGGTTTGAGGCCGCTCTGTATAATCTGTTAGGCCTGAGGCCGCTTTGTATAATCTATTAGGCCTAAGGCCGCTCTGTATAATCTGTTAGGCCTGAGGCTGCTCTGCATCATATGATTGGGCCTAAGGCCATTTTGTATTCTGCATGGGCCTGAGGCCGGTCTGTATTACATATGGACTTGAAGCCAGTCTGCATTACATGTGAGCCTGAGACCGTATTAAAATATAGTTATGGATAAGACTTGTGTATAGTTTGGTATCTGTCTATTTAATTTATCCAAGGTTTTGTTTATTTAATTAACCTATTTACACTGTTATTATTCACTGAGCCTTGCTCACCCCGTTATTATGTATATTTATGTAGGTGAGCCATCGGGGATTGACACTAGAATGGTATTGAGGTTCGCCTGTCTGCCAAGTCACCTGGGGTATGTCTTCATGTGGAGGCCTTAATTTGTATTGGGAGTCATATAAATTATTCAGTCTTATATAAGTGTGTGTGAGATCTATATAAATTCTGTGATTGTATATGTAACTCTAGGAATGTATTTAAATGCTTAAATCGAATTAAACCATCATGTATGCACAAGCTCAATGGATGTTGTCTTTTATTGATATTGCTTCCGCTTAAGGCCCCGTATGTGGTTAAATATTATTCTAAAATTCTGTGTTGAGGCCTATGTACAGGACAGTCATGGACCAAAAACTTTTTGGGGCGGGTTTGGGTCGTGACAATGACACTTGATTATCAATGTCTTGGTTTTCTTGATTATATCAAGAGTATTCTATTATACTGTTGTCAGTGCGGATGCCAGTAGACTTGATCCTTAAATCACGCTTCATTGCATCTTAAAGGCAAAGTTGTTGTAACTTCCTGCACACCTTTTGGTTGGTGCAAATATTGTCTTTAGGAAAGCGCCTAAGTAACGCGACTTGAGGCACCAATTTTTTGTTCTACATACATAATAAGATTATCGTCAAGTTATGCACTTGATTATCAATGTCTTGGTTTTCTTGATTATATCAAGAGTATTCTATTCTACTGTTGTCAGTGCGGATGCCAGTAGACTTGATCCTTAAATCATGCTTCATTGCATCTTAAAGGCAAAGTTGTTGTAACTTCCTGCACACCTTTTGGTTGGTGCAAATATTGTCTTTAGGAAAGCGCCTAAGTAACGCGACTTGAGGCACCAATTTTTTGTTCTACATACATAATAAGATTATCGTCAAGTTATGAAAACCTAAAGACCATCAACTGAAGAATTCAAGATGAATTGATCCAACATTTAAATTGCTATTGAATTATGCTTCTTTCATATGGTATTGGAAGGTAAGGAGTTTTACTTTTCTTGGATTTCTAGAACATTAAATTTGTGTTAAAAGGAAGAGGGCTTTAGGGTTACAAGCGTTTATCTACATCATTGACATTTGGTACATTCAAAGAAGTTCCTAAAAAAAAGTATTGTTAGTTGCTATGTAGAAAAATTTTGGAGAAGTTATTAAGTGTGTATAGAGTATTAAAAAAAAGAGTAATGTCAGATTTCATAAAAGAAATATCATGAAAAATATAATGAAATTTTAAGAAATAATCTAATATGGAAGATAACAAAATAAGAAAAAGCAGCTTACTTTAATGTAAGTATGTTTTAATTTTGAAATCTTAGTTCACAAATTGTATAAATTTAGTTTTGTCTTATAGTGCTCTATGATTGATAGGTTGCAACTTATTGTATGAGAATGCATAACATACAATAAAACACTACAAACTAATTATATGATGGAAAATCATTATGAAACTTTTTCTCATATTTCTTTCATGAAGCATAGCATTACTCTTCATATAATGACCTGCGAATTAATTTTTGAAGAAGCTTCATCATGAAGCAAGTCAACTACTATTCCACTGCAAATTTCAACTTCCATATCTTCAACAATTTTAATTGAATTTTTATCAAAAATTGACTGTCCCTCATCAAATATTTGCAGTTTACTCTAATCTATAATTGAAACTGGAATGGTAAAATTGATCTGAATGATCACTCAATTGTATCATCCTCTTCAGTAAACTCTTTTGGTGTCCATCCTCTTTACAACTTAAGGAAGTTGATTTTCAAACCAGAATCTCAACATTGAGAATTATAGTTATTAGCCATGACTCCCCTACTCCTTCACATGGCCTTGTGAAAGGATTAATGGTAAGAGCATCTCCACTCAAACCTCTAAAACGTAGTATATCAAAAAAATTTTGAAAGTTTGGGTGACAAATTGACATATGTTAATTTGACATGAAAACTCTCCAATAGATATGTCAATTATATTATTATATTATTTTTAAAATTTGAACTCTTTTGTGTACCATTAATCTTCTCTTATTTGAAATAAAATAAAATAAAATAAAATAAATATTAAAAAAACACACATGAAATAGTCTTTATGTCAAAATTGACATGAAGGGGTGATGGCAAAAGCCATGTCAGCTTTTGGCATATCGGGTGGCTTTCAGTTAATATTCCAAAATAAAATCATTGGTGTAAATAGAGTATAATGCAGCGGATAAAAATTTCAGATCATGCCTTAGGTGATAGAACCTGAAGCGAAGAATATCGTCGGTAAATCACGTGCTTCAAAATGCGAACAACGAACACCCAGTAGTTGAGTGATACCACAATATGAGTGTCACCCACACAAGTCACAGTGCAAAAAGCTTGATCGCTGTTTTAATGGGAGAGAGTCAGTATGGCAAAAAACATACGTGGTTTTATAATTCCATATCCCATATATCGTATCAGATATATAGGCTAAGTATCTCAACTATCCATATCAGTTGATATGATAGATATAGATATCTTGAGTGGGTTATCCAAATAAGTTTTGAATTTGAATTCAAAACTTACATGGATAAGGTTCAAAAGGGCCATGGGTCATGCCACATGGGCGCCCAATTTCTAACATCTCCCACTCGCACATGAGTTGGCATGACACTGCCACATCTCTATCTCAATCTCTCCAAAAAATGAACAATCTCATACTAGCCAATGCACCGTGCGATCGCTGAGAACACCTGCATGTGAGAGCTCCATACTAGAAACTCAATATGAGTCAGCATAGGGACATCAACCGAAAATGAACAAAAACTCAATATGTCTCATGTACCTAGACCCATCTGGTTACATCGATCCAAAAAACATCTCTAATCCCTTAAAGAGCATGTTTGACTCTTCTAGGTCTCGCGTTATATTCACACCCAATCAGCATCCCATAGAGAGCGATTTGAGTTGTCGACAGTGAATATAGAGTAGAGATGTAGAACTAGATGATCTTCCCTTCACCCTCATATCATTTAATTTGAAATTGACGGCTTTCCTAGTAATGTCCCTTAAAGCCGGATCATACATGACCGCAAGCAACATACCAAAGTAGCTAAACATCAACTCCTCATCTTATGACATAGTCAAAGGTCACAAAAGGCACAAACTGAAGTCATTTAGGAAAAAATGACTTTTAGAACTCACACAGTGAAGAAGTAGGGATCCATTCTTTCACCTCGCTAACACTACAACAAAAGTAACCTATGGTGACGAAAAGTAGTGAAGAAAATAAATTTCGTCACTAAATAAGAATAATCCCTGACGAATTATAAAATTTTGTCACATATAACAAAAAAATAAAAATAATAGCTGACGAAATCTATTTTCGTCAACGAATACTTCTTTTTAGGTGAGAAAAAATTAAGTTTCGTCACCGAAGGTTTTCCCACTAATTTTTTTTGGTGGAGCCAAAATTTTGACACTTTTGGTGAGAAAAAAATTTGTCACCAATTAAAAAATTATTAGTGAGGAATATATTTTCGTCACCAATAATTTTATATATATATTTTTTGAGAAACTTGATTTTAAATATTTTAAGACCATTTGGTGATAAATATATTTTTGTCACTAATAATTTTTAATATTTTGAGACTTTTTAGTAAGAAAATTATTTTGTCACTGATTTTGAAGGGAAAGTTTTGAAATATTGGGCAGTAATGAAAAAAAATATACTACTAACTTTTCCTCCCCACTCCCCTCATTTTTGTTTATCAGTTTTCCTCTTCCCTCTTTCTCACTCTCTTTAAAAACAAAACACAAGTTAATTAGATTTCTAAGTAACCTATGGTGACGAAAAGTAGTGAAGAAAATAAATTTCGTCACTAAATAAGAATAATCCGTGACAAATTATAAAAAATTTTCACATATAATAAAAAAGTAAAAATAATAGGTGACAAAATTTACTTTCGTTAATAAATACTTCATTTTAGTTGAGGAAAAATTAAATTTCGTCACCAAAGGTTTTCTCTCTAATTTTTTTGGGTGGGGGCCAAAATTTTGAAACTTTTGGTGAGAAAAACAATTTGCCACCAATTATAAAATTATTAGTGAGGAATATATTTTCGGCACCAATAATTTTAAATATTGTTTTTTTGAAAAATTTGATTTAAAATATTTTGAAACTATTTGATGAAGAACATACATTACAATAAAAACACACTTTAGTGGCACTACACTAGTGGCATATTTTTAGAAAATGTTACAAAAATAATATTTGGTAACACGTTTTAGAAAAAAAAAAAAACTGCAGAACCACAAACATATAAGGCTCTCTCTCTCTCTCTTCCTTTATTTTCCCATTTCACTCTAGAGCTAGGGTTTTTTTTTTTGTTTTTTGTTGATGTTGTAGGATTTTTATTTTTGTGAAATGAGTACATGAGTTTTGATTTTTGTTCTAGATTTAGGGTTTTTTGAACTAATTATTGGTGTGATAGATGAGATGATTTATTCTGTGAAATGATTTAGGGTTTTTGAATTTCAAGTTGAAGATATATTGAACAAACAAAATGGATTGTAGTTTTAATTATACAAATTTTTCTGTCGATTCTTAATATTAACTCCAATACTAATTTAACAATGATTTTTTTCTCATTGCTAAAATTGTAGTTCTATTTCACTGCTCCTAATTTTTGTCTATTTCATTTTCACTTCATACACTATATACAGCAGTAGAAGTGGGTCTTTCTTTTTTTCTTTTTGACAAAGATCTCCTATTTAATATCACATCCCTCCAAAGTGTCTCCAAAATTCATAATTGATTGGTTCCACAATTCCCTCAACCCACAATGTGAGACGTCACAACACTCAAAAAACAGTAGCCTCATGCAATGTGCAAAACAGAGTATATATACAAATAGTTAATCAATACACTCTTAATATGGTCAGTGAGAGGTGTGTAGTATAACTTCCTCACAACACTCAAACCTCTATGAAATGGTTTAACACTCATAACAGCTCCTTGTAACCTGCACAATAAACAAAACATTTGGAAACGCTCAATATATCTTCCCAATCACCCAACCCACATTTAATGAACTCCCATCCCTTATTTCTCTTCCCAAATGATTAGGGCTATTCTTCAATATTGAATCTAGCAGTTTCCATGTATCAAGGAACCACCTGTCACCTTGATGGCTTTTCAGGTTAGAAATAGATAACATACGGAATCTTACCATGTCAATAATATGCTTGACAACCACTTCCTCAGGGAGGAATTCATCATCAAATAAGTGATAGCATTTTTTTCAAAATTCCTTCGTTAGAATAGCATATGATATCAAAGGAGCTCCTAGTTTCAGGCTTATAGCCATGAGAGGATATTCAAAACTTTTATATTGGTGTTACTTCTATTTATTCATTTTTTCTTTTCATTTAGAAAATATTTGGGTAAATTATAAATTCACCCCTTGTGGTTATGGAAAATGCATCCTACCCCTCGAGGTTTTAAACCACATTACAATTTTCTTCTTCATAAAGACTTAGGTCAACTAACAAAATTGGATGATGTCAACAAATTTTTTTTTTTTGAAAATATCTATTTTACCCATAGCTCCTATCGCTCCGTCTTTTTCCTATTCTCTTCGTTTCTTAGCCACATCCCCCTAGATAATCCAATGACTTTTTTATATAATTTTAATTTTATACACTCACTTATACATTTTTATACAACTCTGCCAATGATTGAAAATTGCAAATGCAATGTATAGCCCCCACCACCATTGTCCCATCTCTTGGCTTATGTTTACTTCTAGGTTGACAAGTTGTTTGTTATGGCAATTGGTTAGTTTTATATACTCCTTATATTCTTAGAAGCCAGGTGGAATATTTGCAGTGGTCTCTCAGATTCTTCCATGTGCCCTGCTTGGATCTGCGCATGCAGATCTTGTCACCTCATCCGAGCTGGACCTTGTTCAATTGCTGCTAATTTTACCTCCCATAGTGAAACTTTGATTCCCATCTTTTATATCTTTCATTCTCCTTTCTTCTTCTTTCCCCCATCACCTCGCAATTCAGTTATGAAACTAAGTGGGTTCTGCAGGAGATTTGCATGGAGCAACTGCTACTGCTGGTTTGCGGTTCACGTGATTGCTGCATGACTTCTTTGTTTCCAGGCTTAAATGGATTTTTGTTTGTTTGTTTGAGTCAATCAAACCTGTGTTTTGGATCAAAGGTTAGCAGATTTTTTTATAAAATATTTGGAAGAAAAACAAAATAAATGTTGTGCAGGGGAAAATGTTGCAAAAACCTCCAAGGATAGATCCGGAGTGAATGAGACGAATGCATCCTTAACGTTGAAGAAAGAATAAGGTCTCGTTGATATTTTTCACTAGTGTCATATGCATGCTTGTAAAGTTACTGCAATCCTTATTTTCTTGGTATTTTGTTTTTAATCTAATGAAGCTGGTGGTTTTGTCAGAAATAATTAAGTTGACTGGCCTTGGGACCTTGTAGCTTTCTTCTTTGGAAACTATCATGAGGTTTGTTGCTCTCACTTTGGATATATCAGTCTTAGTTCATTTGGTTGAGATAGTCTGAATTTTATGAACACAGTTTAACTTGGGATTGGAATGCAATGGACTGTTAGGCCTGAGATAAATAGCCACTGGAATATTTGACTAGAAATGATATGTATTTGACTATTAGTTCGACTCTCATTTTTCTAACCAAACGATGGACTAGTAAATCTATTGGATATAGAGTCCAATCCCATGCCTTAGTCCAATGAAGCAAACACCTGTTATAATTTTATTGTTCGGTTTGTGGTCCTGAGTTGAGTAATTATCATACTCTGATGAGCCCTGCTCGGTTTATTCACCATATTTCAGACATCTTAATACACAACCTTCTACTATTTTGATGTTTCTTGAGCTAAGGTATGAATATTGATCAACTTTTTTCTGGCTTACATATGTTTTTATATTCCTATTTAGATGGCACTTAGACTAAATGAAGGAGATGAAGTAGAAATTGAGCCCGATCCTGCAACATGGACAGCCTTAGAGGAGGAACTTTATATTCAGTTAATGGTGAAAGAGGTTCACAAAGGGAATAGATCATCAACCACCTTTTCAAGGAAAGGTTGGAAACAAATTGAACAAGAGTTCTGTGAGAAAACCAACAAGAGGTATAACAATTCTCAGTTTAGAAATAAGTTTAACCAGTTGAGAACCCGTTTTAATGATTTTAGTAAGCTGCTGAAGGAACCTGGGTTTACTTGGGTACCCGTGCTCAGTATTGTAACCGCAACTGATGCTGTTTGGGAATCATACATAAAGGTGAACACTAAATTTTAAAATTTTGAAATTGAAACCACTTTTCTTTTAACTTCACTGAATCACAGCTATGTACTTTTTAATATAGGGAAACAAAAATGTGAAGAGATTTTGGAAAAAAGGGTGCCCAGTGTTTAATGAGTTAGGAATCAAATTTGGGGACCCAACATCAAGTTACAAAGATGTATTTCCATTAGCTCAGTATCCAATGGTTAGTGAATATAAATTGGATATAGAAGATGAGTCAACAAATGCTACTCCATCCGCTTTCCCAAGTGACAGTAGCAATGGTAGAGATTTTCCCTCGCAAAGTACTAGACGCCTTCGCCAACGATCTTCCACTCCTACAAGCCATCTTAGAGGGAAGGGGAGGCAAGAACAGTAGTGGAGGGTGAGGCATTGAAGGAATGGACTGAAGCTACAGTTCCCTCGAGGATGTCTGATAGAAAATGGGCTGAAACTAGTAAGGTAATGACCCCAACTTTCCATAAACTTGAGACATCTTCCCAAGCTAGTCCATTCTCAATTACCAATTGTGTCAAGTGTCTAGAAGCGATTGAAGGAATGGATTCAAGTACCTACATAAAGGCAATCAAGATGTTTAAGGATTTAGATTGGAGGGAGATGTTTATGGCAATGTCTCCCGAAAGAAGATTGGTTTGGTTGGCTAGCTTAGAGTAGTTTTGTTTTCTATGATTTTAGGTTTCTTAATCTATGGAACATGTTGAGATATTTCAACATTAATATGCATTCAGTACCACATGTACACTTTCACCTTTTTGTGTGGCACGTAATTCTTAGTCTGATGGGACGGGTTAAGATGTTGGAGCAATAAAAGGTGTAGGAGTAAACTAATCTCAATTCGAACAGAATGTAAAGTGCTTATTATTTAAAAAATGTCGTTATTGATCCAAAAAAAATAATGGCTCAAACACACTTTTTTGGGTCTTCAATCCAAGTTTTAGTAAATTCAGATAGATTATGCCTGTCAAATTCGTAGTTTCCAAATGGGAATAGTTTAGGAGCTCTTAAAAGTCCATGTATAGTTGGACCCAATCCTACGTGAATCTATGTGTGCTACCCAATTTATACTTCTACTTCTCTACTGCAATGAGTTAGCATTTAAACCCCCAAAACCATATCTACCTCATCATTTCTCCTAACCCAAAATCATATCTTACCAACCTTAAACCTTTCCTTTTAAATCCTTCAACTCTAACCACTACACATCATTGAAATCAGCTGCTTATTAATATTCACAGCCATACTATCACAGCTCCAAACTCTTGCCTCTCTTTGTAAAATCATAGCCCTAAACTCTTCCCCTTCTCTTGTATCCAAACAAACCCTTAAACTCTATTGTTTTGCCCTCTAGTTGCAACAAAATCTTAGCATAATCAGTCTCTAAAAAACTTTTCTCATCACTGCCCAACATCAATTTTTTTGGCATCGGAATTGTTGAAATCTGCCTCCGCCCTGCTCATACTTCATCCATCAAATGGTTAGTAAGTTCATCATGTCAATGTGCAGCCTATGATGTGGTAAGGACGGACTGTTGATCCTAATGTAGGTGTTGCCTTGTTAACATTGATAAACATTAATCTAAATACAGTAATGCATAATTATAGTACTTTTCAACAAACTTTAGTACCTTATAGAAGATAGAACATAAACACCAGAAACTCTTAACAATTTGATGCTGCCAAAAATAAGAGACCAAATAATTGAAGAGCTTCATTTATCAAACTTACCTCAAACCAAAAACCAATTACAAAGGAACATGAAGGATTTGTTTCTTAAACAATTGGAATTTGTTTTTAGCTAATAACAGATGCTTGTATGACTAACAGCTAGAGAAGTGCTCAATATTAACACAGGGCATAAGCTTAAAAGCATAGAACATGACTTTTTACATCAAATAAATATACGCATAGCAGCTACATCCATAATTTATCAACCAAAGCACATCAAATGTAAACCTGGTTTCAGATGCTAAACTAATTTTTCTATAGCAGACACAGAGGTATTAAATTAAAAAGATGATAAGTGGCATAACAGAAAAAGACTCACATCCTGATCCATTTGTATGTTGGCATCATCAAGCGTTTTGTCCAAATCATTCATCAAGGCATGTTTTCGGCGGCCATAATAGTCCCAAATCCATACCTGCGCCAAAGGATTCTATTAACCAAACTTCTGGTTTTCTATTAAGTAATTTGACATTTATCAAGACATTTGCTTCCGGAATTCTTGTTCCCAAGTCTTATATATGGCCTGTAGATAATCTATATTTACAGCCTCATACCTCAGTTGTTTGTTGTTTGTTTTGGATGCTCATAAAGAAGGTCTAGAAGTTTTTGCATCAGATTTTGCAAATGACGTACCTTTTGCCTACAATTTCAGTTATAACCCTGTAGCTGAGTATCTATCTTTTATTGACAATGGAAACTTCTCTGTGGATGGTGTGCTTTTTGGTGACAAAATGTTGTCTTATTGGTGACAAAAATTTTCATCACTAAATTAATTTCATTGGTGACGAATTATTTTTCGTCACGATGCTTTTTAGTGACAAACATTCAATGACGAACCCAGTGACGAAAATATTTCCTCACAAATATCTATAGTGACGAAATTAGCTCTTTGGAGACAAAAAAAATTCGTCATCCAAGACCCTACTTGTTGTAGTGAACGGGTCGATAAGCACATGCAGTACAAATGCATGTTATAGTGGAGTAACTCTTTCAAAGAGTGATGTTAAACTTACACACCATACAGATCTTAGTCTAGTCGCTTTGAACCGCACAAGTCACTTCTTAATGTCTAACTCGAATTCTCTATTTGCTCGCCTCTCAGGCATCAAATGAGATCTCGCATCTGGCTATCCATAACAAGCACATCATGGAAAAGTGGGTACTCTCATATCCATGCTCAGTCTCTAACAAGACCTCATCTTGGCTCTAACCAATGCAACATAGCTAGTGGATAATTTTAGCTTCTCTATTTGCTCCAAATATAATAAGCCACTAGTCTCATCCTTGCTCGCTACCTAGCACTAAGGCCGATTGTTCGTGTGAGTGAGCCAATCTTGCCTACTAATATCAATTTATTTATTCTGTGTACGCTAATTCACAAACCACTGCAAAATGTAGTAAACATAAATGTGTAATAGAAACAAATATGAATACTAATGGCATAAATATCCCAAAAAAATATTAGTTCAACTTAATACACACACACACACACACATATATATATATATATATCACCACCTATGTAGTCCTAAAGCCCTAACATGAGTAAGATAAACATCTCTAGCAATGGGCTTAGTCAAAGGGTCCGCAACCATGCGACTCATAGGGATGTGCTCCAGGATCACTTCTTTCTGCGCCAAAATATCTCTGATAAAGTTGAACCTCACATCAATGTGTTTGGTTCTCCCATGGTATTTAGGATCCTTAGCGTAAGCGAGTGCAGCCATGCTGTCACATTGGATAGTCACAGGGTCCGAAATGTGTGTGACAATATCCAAATGCTAAAGGAATCTCCTCAACCAAAGGGCTTCCTGAACGACAGATGAACAAGCCACAAACTCAGCCTCCATAGTCGATAAGGCGATACAGGATTGTTTCTTACTACTCCAAGAAATAGCACCGTCGCTAAGCATGAAAGCATATCCTGAAGTAGACTTACGCTCATCTAAGTCTCCTCCCTAATCAACATCACAATAGCCAACTAGATGTAGATCTAAACTTTGGTAGCAAAGTGTGTAATCTGTAGTCCCTCTAAGATATCGTAATATCCTCTTAACTGCTTTCCAATGAGTTGGTTTTGGGTTGGATTGGTAACGACTCACCAATCCGACTACATAACAAATGTCAGGACGTGTACACATCATAGCATACATCAAGCTTCCAACAGGATTTGCATAGGGAACATGAACCATCTTTTCATTCTCTTCTGGAGTCTTAGGACCCATATCAAGGCTTAGGCTCTCGCCTTTCACAATAGGAGTGTCAATGGGTTTGCAGCTCTGCATTTGGAATCGCTCTACGATAGTCTTAATGTAAATCTCTTGAGACAACCCAAGAAGTCTCCTAGAGCGATCCCTAAGGATCTTAACACCGAGCACATAGCTTGCTTCACCCATGTCTTTCATTTCAAATGTAGAGTACAACCACTTTTTAGTGGCGACAATCATCTCCTTGTCATTTCCAGCCAATAATATGTCATCTACATATAATGATAGTATCAGAAAAATGTCCTTGGACCGCTTAACGTACACACAATGATCTTCATCGATCATCGTAAACCCATTAGAAATAATGGCTCGATAAAATCTCAAATTCCACTGTCTGGATGATTGCTTTAAGCCATAAATAGATCGTTGAAGCTTGCAAACAGCCTTCTAGTTGATCCATATAGATCTCTTCATCCAATTCTCCATTGAGAAATGCAGTCTTAACGTCCATCTAATATAGCTCTAAGTCCAACTGAGCTACTATGGCCAGAATTAGGCGAATAGAGGCAAACCTCACGACTAGTGAAAAAGTTTCCTCATAATCCATACCCTCTTGTTGGGTGTAACCTTTCGCCACTAGGCAAGCCTTATACCTTTCTATGAAACCATCTGCCTTGCGCTTGATTTTGAGAACCCATTTGATCCCAATAGTCTTGCGCCCTGGCAGCAAATCAACCAAGTCCCAAACATGATTTTTCTTCATAGACTCTATTTCTTCATTCATTGCAGTACTTCATTCTTTACTATCAGGGGATAAGAGAGCCTCTTTGAGATTCTTTGGCTCCATCTCATTACTCGGAGCAATCATGAATGCTTCTCCTTCAATCTCAAAATGACGAGGGGGAATGGCTCCACGTTTGCTTCTACGCAGTTGAGAATCCTGAGATCCATTGGATCTAAGCCATGGGTAGGTAGATAACTCCCATTGTCCCTAGGAGCTTGAGGGATTATCTCCTCATTCTCTACTAGGCTACTAGGTGCGCCTTCAAGTAGATCCTCCATCTCATGGAGTTCTACATCTCTAGTTACCTCACCTCTGCTAGGGAAATCCTCCTCTAGGAAATCCATATCTCGTGACCCAATTTCAGTCACACTTCCATCCGAATGCTCCCCAATAAACACATAGCCCTTAGAATGCTCACTACAGCGAACGAAGATACACTTCTTTTCTCTAGGGCCTAACTTCCCAAACTTATGAGAAGCGTTGTGCATGTAAGTTGCCGAACCCCAAGGCCACAAATTGCCCAAACCAGTATTTTTGCCAGTCCACATCTAATATGGAATGGAAGGAACTGATTTAGAGGGCACACGGTTAAGGATGTAGGCAGCAATCAACAAAGCATCTCCCTAGTAAGAAATGGGAAGATTAGCTTGCGCCATCATAGATCTGACCATGTCAAGCAATGTGTGATTCCTTCTCTCCGCTACACCATTTTGCTGCGGAGTCCTAGGAATTGTCAATTGCCTGATAACTCTTTTTTCCTCACAGAGCACTTTAAATTGCTCAGATAGATACTCGCATCCCCGGTCAGTCCTTAGAGACTTACTACTCTTGTCTAATTGATTATCAACCTCATTAACATACCGTCTAAAGCAATCCAATGCTTCTGACTTGTGAGAAATCAAATAGACATGAGATGAAATAGGGGGCTCCATGCCTTGCCCTCACATTCATTGGTCCACATATATCAGAATGAATAAGTTGCAATGGGATAGATGCCCTTATGGCTTTCCCAAATGGTTTTCTTGTTGCCTTTCCAGCAAGACAGTGCTCACAAGTAGGCAAAGTGACTCTAGCGAGTGGGCCTAAAAGCCCTTCTTTAGCCAATCTAGTCATTCTGTCTTGCCCTATGTGGCCTAATCTAGCATGCCATCTCATAGAATCATTATCACAAAAAGATGCAATATTAGAAACAGAGCCATTGGCATTTTTATTAAAACTAGATTCATCCACATCCAAAACTAAAAAACCATCTGAAAGATAACCAAAACCATAAAAAGTTGTTCCCAAATAAATGTTAACACCATTGTTCTCAAAACAAAAGCTAAACCAAGGCTCATCATGCTAATAACTGAAACTAAGTTTCGCCGAATATCTGGAGCATAAAGAACATCATGAAGATACAATGTGCGCCCTCATTGCATTTCCAACTTGTATGTGCCAATGCCAAGCACCTCCACACTGGACTTGTTCCCCATGTAAACTTTTCTGCTCCCAGTAGGTACTCGGTGATAGTCAACGAACCCTACTCTATCCCTCACGATGTGGTCTGTTGCTCCGGAGTCTACAACCCAAAAATGTGGAGAATGAGCAATTAATGCTTGACTAGAAACAAAGCATTGAATGCGAAAAATTAAGTAAGGGAGTACCTTCTTCTGCTTAGGGCAATCCCGAGTGAAGTGTCCTTCTTTGTTACAGTTAAAGCATGTCAATTTAGCTTTTACCTTCTTGCTAACTCTCTTGCCCCTACGCTTGAAATTTCTAGCGCCATTGGGTTTTAGCGCAGCTATTGTTTGCTTCTTAGGGGCACCTTTTGCTTTTCCACGCTTGAACTAAGAAGTCTTATGTGAGCTCGACTCAACCACCATAGTAGAACCATCAGACTTAGCCGCCTCAAGGCGCTCAGCCTCTAGCTCCAGATGACGCGATATGTCTTCGAATGTTTTCACACTCTCATTATGCATCATGTTCTGCTTCATCGGCTCCTAAGAATTTGGCAGAGAGCGAATCGCAGCTTGTAC